GACAACAACAACAACATGTTGGAAGAATGCTCCTTAGAAGCAATGATGGAGAGACTTTGTCTGTCATACTTTGGATGTATTATCAAGAACGACCAGTCACTGGAGAAGGCCATCATGCTTGGTAAAGTGGAGGATCAGTGAAAAAAATAAAGAACCCCTAAAAGATGGGTTGACACAGTAGCAGCAATAATGGGATCAAATATAATAACAATTGTGATGATGGCACAAGACCAAGGAGTTTCCTTCTGTTGTGCCTAGGATAGCTATGACGTTCAAATAACTTGAAGTCACCTAACAAAAACAAAAACAATATTGAATGCAGGAAGTATCAAAAACAGATGGAAGAAATACACAGAGTCACTGCACCCTAAACAATTGGTTGACATGCAATCATTTTGAGAGGTAGCATATGATCAAGAATTAATGGTACTGAAGGAAGATTTCGAAGCTGCTCTGAAAGCATTAGCAAAAGCCAAAATTCCAATAATTGATGGAATACCACTTGAAATACTTCAACAAATTGATGTAGTGCTGGAGGTGCACAATTGCCTATGTCCAAAAAATTGGAAGACAGTTACCTGGCCAATCAGCTGAAAAAGGTCCATATTTATGCCCATTCCAAATAAAGGTGACCCAACAGAAAGCTGAAATCATCAAACAATATCAGTAATATTGCAAGTAAAGATTTGTTAAAGATTATTTTTAAATGATTTCAACAGTGCACTGCCTGAAATTCAAGCCAGCTTCCGAAGAAGACTTGGAATGAGGGATAGCATTGCTGATGTTAGATGGATCATGCCTGAAAGCAGAGAATACCAGAAAGGTGCTTACCTGAATTCAGTTGCCTATTTAGGTAATAGACTGCAGGAGTCATAACAAACTATAGAACACATTAAAAATAATGAGAATTCCAAAATATTTAAATTTCCTTATGAAGAGCCTATGCATAGCCCAACAGGCAGTTCTTGAAACAGAAAAAGGGGGATACTGATCAGTTTGTGTCCTTTTACCATATTTATTCAATCTGTATAATGAGCAAATAATCTGAGAAACTAGACTTTATGAAGAAGAATGTGGCATCAGGACTGGAGGAAGTCTCATTAAAAACTTGCAATATACACATGACACAACCTTGCTTTTTGAAAGTGAAGAGGACTTGAAGCACTTACTGATGAAGATCAAAGACAGTGTTCTCTATGGATTACACCTTGATGTAAAGAAAATAAGAATCCTAAAACAACTAAAACAATAAACAATATCATGATAAATGGTAAAAAAAATGTTGAAGTTGTCAATGATTTCATTTTGCTTGAATCCATACTCAATGCTCATAGAAGCAACAGTTAAGACATCTAATGACTAAATAAAACCTATAAAAAAGAAGAAAGAAATCAAATGACATGTTGCATTGTGGAAATCTGTTGCAAAAGACGTCTTTAAAGAATCAGAAAGCAAAGATGTTGCTTTGAGAACTAAGGTATATCTAACATTACCCAAGCGACCTCATATATATATGAAAGCTGGACAGTAAGTTAAGAATTCTGGTGGACAATTAATGTTATAAATTATAGTGTTGAATATTGAATATACCATGAACTGCCAGAAAAATGAAAAAAATGTGTCTTGAAAAAAAGCACAGCAAGAATGTCCCTTAGAAGTAAGTTTGGGGGAACTTCATTCCCATGCTTTTGATGTGTTAACAAAGAGACCATCCCCTGGAGAAAAGACATCATGGTTGATAAATTAGAGAGTCAGAGAAAAAAAGGAAGACTCTCAGTGAGATGAATTGACACAGTGGCTGCAACAATGTACTCACAGATGTCAACAATTGTAATAATGGCACAGAGCCAGGCAATGTTTCATTCTGTTGTACATACGGTCGCTGTGAGCCACAACCAATATTATAGCACCTTACAATAACAGCTATACCCATTTCAAACATTATGTTATATCCCTCACATGTGGTTTTAACCTACATGTAACACCAATATAAGTTCTTTTGTTTGCATCTGCTTTGTTGTTGCAGATGAAATCCATACTGTTGTGTTGGTGTTGTTAAGTGCCATTGAGTCAGTTCCAACTTATAGTGTCCCGATATAGGATTTCCAAGAAGCAGTTGGAAATCCATACTAAATGGTCTTTATTTCTATCACCCCAAATTTATACTCCTCTCCCCAATTTAGAGCATTCATACATTGAAATGTTTAATTAGATTGTGGCAAAGAGATAGAATTCTCAGAAATCCTCCACAAAGAGATTTGATGCCCAGTTGCAAAGACTGTGGTTAGCTGACCACATGAAGAGAAAAACACAACATTTGGATATTACCTACACTGATTTCAAATG